AAAGAATGAAGTATATTGAACTGTGCAAAAAACAAGTCTCAATATTTTTGGTTGACACAAAATACAATAAATAAATATTTAAAGAAAAAATGCATTTTTTTTTCAAATTTCCTGCCTTGGGCAGGACTAAAGCCTAGTCTAGGGCTTAGCTAGGCTAGGTACTGTGTACTGTAGGCCCTAGCCAGGTTAAGGAAGAGGCCTAAGCCTAGGCTAGGCCTAGGTAGGCAAAAAAACCAACGATTCTTCTTTTGTGTCCCAACGCCCCTACCTGACCTGTTGCACTTTTTTTTACTTAATTCTTAGGTTTAGCCTTGGGCCTGGCCTAAACAGTATACAGTATAACAACAGAAACACTGCCACTGCACTGACTGACGAACTGACTGAATTGAACTAAACTTGATACTTAGCTACAAAATTATACCTAGGCTAGAATAAGTAACTAGGCGTATATATGTGGAAGGCGTACATTTATGGACGAAAGGAGATTATTTTTTCTTTACTTACCACAATACTGACTGTGCATAGACCTTGGCATAGTGCGGACTCTTCTCCTTTTTTTCCAATGGCAATATAATAATAGGCCTAGGCCTAGCGTCTATCCTAGGCTAGGCTGAGTTTCAGCAGAAGAACGTCCAAAATCCTTATTCAATCCTTTTAATAGTTCATGACATTGCTACAGGTATTAACCATTTCAATAAAGTATCAGTTTGCGATTATTACTCCAATTATTACTGAACAAAAGGAGGACACCACAACAACAAAGGGAGCAGCGAGCGAGAGAGATGTCGATGAAGACCGTTCCGTTAGCTTTCAAATTTTACCACCCAGTTGTGGAATGTACCATGTTTATTAGAGGGGAGGGGAAACAATTTAAGACCAGTTATAATTCTTATTAAATGTATTTGTATGAAACCTTCTGTAATTAATCATTTGTTTTGTGTAAGACAGTATAAATTTTATAGCATTTCATTTCATACACTAAATAATTTACTAAATCGTACAACTCAACTCATAAATTGGACCCCTATCACGGCCTGATCCATTGTCTGGTTATTGAAAACGATGTATATATCACTACCATCTGGTATGATTAAAGTAGGTTTTAAGTTACACAACAGTAACTTTAAAATGGTCACAATGGTGGTTTGTGGTTAAGGATTTTGTAAGATTAAGTATTTGTTACAAATATGTGCATTAAATTCATTTTTCATTTCAATTTTAAAATGTGTTGTAAGGCTAATTATTTGCTGTTTTTAACATTTAATTAAATGTTTAATTTAATGTTTAATTTAACTTATATGTTTAATGTAACTTAAACGCTTAAAGTTTTTAACATTTTAACTTAAAATGTGAGCATGCTAATTGATACTTATGCATCTGTTATACATTTCCAAACAGATATTCTATAGAATTCCTAGACAACTTCTAAAGCAAATGTTATAGATGTCTATAGAATTTTCTATAGAATTTCTATATAGCTTCTAAAGAGAATGTTATAGATTTCTATAAAATTTCTTCAGAAATATGAAGCATGATTATTTGCGACAAAATGATACACATATTAAACTCTATGCATTATTTAGTTACTCAACATCAGACCATGAGCCAAATGCAATAGTTTTATTTATTATTTTTTTATTATTAT